CAGTTACCGGGGCACCCTTTCGGCGTTCACCGAAGAGAAAGCACCCATTCTCGAGAGAAACTCGAGTAGGCGCATTCGAGACGTTCTCCGCGAGGATCTTCCGATCGTCTAAAGTGTTCGGTAATAAACGGTCTTAGTCGGCCGACGCGTTCATCAACTATGACAGCTAACACGCTCGCGAACGCGTTACTCCCGATACGTTGCAAATTACGTGTATTTTCCAAACGGCCGATCCATTCGCGCGTTTCCGGTGACTGGGGCCCCCGGGTGAACCGATATTATTCTCGATTAACGTTCCATTCGTTCGCTCGCGCACCTTCTGATATTTCCGATCGTTGATTGCGCGATTTACAGATGCCAACTGGCTCTAATTGCGAACCAGATCGACGGCTGTTCGCGATTAACAATAAACGCGGGATAAAGTCGGACGGGAACAGCTGGCAGCGTGTTCCGCGAGGCAGAGGTCGCGATACAGACTCCTCTGCATCTTCTTCCTGAAGATCCATTACCGACTCGAGCGTACCACTAATTTATGTATTACTCGCTAATCCCTGCAACGGGAGTTACCAAGTTTACGTTCTGTCGAGTAGTCGAATTAGCCTGAGTGCTGTGAATCAGGGTTTCCAGACGATACGTTTAGACATAGGCAGCATCAACGAGACGTTGGCAAAGGCGATAATTATTTCTGTGATGTACGGCTGCTCTGGATCACTGCACACGTGTCCAATCCGCAGCTCTCATATTTCTTTCTACGGAAAGAAAGCGATCGGGTAATAGAGTCGTACCTCGGAGAGGTGGCTACCGAACATAAAAAGTGGGTTTAATCATACAGGTTAACACGTTGATTGCCACATGAATATTTCTGAACATTTTGATAAGAATAAAATTTTGTTTCGAGACAATTGAAACCTACATAACCTAACGTTCGTCGTAGTACTTATTTTTATAACGTTATCGATATTAATGAATCCAAACAAGATTTATTTTCTTTAACATCGTTTCACAAAATTATGTTATTTAGTTGCATGGTAAAAGCTCTGATATTTATTTTTCATGATGAGCTCGAATCTTAACGACGTCAAGAAAATTGTGCAGGGAAATATTTGGTTTCTTAGAGTACCTAAGCATGTTGTTGTTCCTGTTTATGTTTACAAAGAGTTCCCTAGTCTATAAATAAACGAACAAATATTTTCCTCTTCGACAGTGATCGTGTCCCTATCGTTGTCCACATGTCGCCTGCTGCACATCTCAGAGGACCGAACAATCACACGAAAACGCGTGTCGTTCACGTGCCTGCGGACTGCAGCGGAAAAACAAAAATTCGCGGTCGTGCGATACAACGGGCTTACGTAATTATCGAAGACGCGTGGCAGATTCGTTTTTATCGGTCAGATAGCGGGGACGGTATTTTTTGATTGATAATTCGATCGACAACGATAGCAGTAAAACGCGAGGCATTCGGATAATATTAAAATATTCTAGGTCGACGAGGCGACGACTGAAAATAGTAGTCGAAGGAGAGGAACGAATTTAGGAACCTAAATTTATATCCGGTCGACCCTGACTCCTCTCGATGGAATCAAATAAAGACTCGTTATGGCACTGTTTTCGCGATCTTTTCGACCGTATCGCGACTGTGGGAGCTGAGTAGAGGGTTCACCTTCGGAGATTCGATCGGAATGGGAAGAGACGTCCTATTGCTTCAAAATCGTTATCATGCCTCTATCGCATTAATTTTATTTCACCCCTCGAATAAGACATTATTCCTGCAAAATCGTCACTGTAAACGTTATTAGAGGGTATGTTTTACAAAAAAATGTATCCATAAGTGTAATAGAAACAAAGAGTGTTTATTCGTCTGAGGTCGAGTACTGTTTCTAAACAGCCATCTCTACGAGCAATAATATACATCCCCTGATATCGTTGTGCATAGCTTCATCCGTGAAAGGAAATAAAATAAATTGAATTCTTGCGAGTGTTTCACGACCATTGCAATAAAGGCTTAAGCTCTTCCAATGCAAAATTTTGATAATCTTATGAGCGTCAGATTGCACAGTGAATTACTGCATCCTGACAATAAAAGACGCGTCACAAACACCCCCGATGAAATTACGAATCGATGAATATCCGGAGCGCGTTCTCGAAGCTCGAAGTGAATTTCGGAAGTGGCATGTTTTGGAGCTGTGCAGCATTTATCAATCGATCGCACTGATGGATAACTGCAATAACGGATGCTGCTACTATTTAGCGAGTTTCCCAGACTGGCCAGCAAGACCCATCATCCTCGTCGAACTTCACTGAAACTTTAACGACTGTTACGGGTACCCCTATCTGGTTATTGATGAACAGGATGAATACAGAGGCTGATGTATTGATCGATAATGACAGCAATAAAACTGCCGCGTCACCGTAGTAAATCTTCCCCGCGAACACGCCTGGCGTCTTATAGCGTGCTTCGGGGTTTTCATTACGACTCGTAATAACCAGCGGAACCCGGAGGATTTCTTTCCTCGTGGTAGATCCTACGCGAGCTGAACCGTCGGGGGAACCTTTTTGTTTACGGCGATAATAATGGTAATAACATATTTGACCATAATGATGCCCGCGACGAGGCAAATCGTAAAACATTTTCGGTTGAAATTCCTGCCTCCTTCGGTATATCGGTATCTACATGTAATTCGGTATTTCATTATTATTCTACATATATGTAAGTATATCGTATATTAAGTATATTAACATATCGAGGAAAACGTTTTATAGTGCAGCTTTTCGAGACTATACTTATGTCAAATATATTATTCCTGTCGTCGTAAACAAGAGGAATCCTTTGTAATAACGAATTATTTCATCATTATCGTGGATAACTGTTTTCTCCGAGAAAATGAGGAATGAATAAGCGGACAAATAAGCGCATATCTCACTCGTGGAATCAGCAGAGAGTAGAAAACATGTCAAGTGTAAAAAATTAGGTAAATTTTCGATTACCCGAGTCCGAAAACACGACGTTCACGTACTGTTACATTGCCCGAAGAACTATTATCTGAAATGCAGTGGTGAATTATTGATTACCCTGTTTCGATGAAAGTTCAAACCAAGCCACTTATCACTTGTTTGCGAATTTCGATGCCGAATCAATTATGAAGTCGCAGAAATTCGTTTGAAAATAACTTCACCGGTCAGTTTATATCAATAACCAGTTCTCTTCGCGACGAACAAAATACACGCACAGAGTTTTGTCGCTATGTATTTCAAATTATTTCAAACTTTGGACATCTACCTCTAGCTATTCAAATTTTCCTAAGGATAAATATTTAACGGTCCTTGGGTATAATATCTCCAAGCCTTGAAACTTTAAAAGTAAAAAGTAATCTTTGCTTATCCGGAAGCTTAATCCTTTAAACTCTCCGTTAGAAAAGTGTGCACGGATCGCGGGTGTTTAAAATCGCTGATGGTAAAATCGAAACTGGCTCGATTTCCGTTAGATCGCGCGATCGATGCGAAATCAGTTGCGGAAAGGATCGAGACGCGCGACAGTAGCCGATATACAAGCGGATCGAGAACGACGGTAGTAAAGTTTCTAAGTCAATGGTCACCGAGAAAAGTGGCCCCGAGTCTCGATTCGGTGGGATTGACACGGAATCGTGATTAAATCAAGCGGACGGGGAAATTACAACGTTTTACCAGGGGGTGGAAACAGGGATCTCCTTCGTCTTCGTCGAGGAGATCAATTTAACGCTGTTCCCGAAGATTACAGTTTCTCGTATGCGCGCGTGTCCTTACTTTCCACGCTTAGCGAAATCATCGTCGTTTCGACTGCAGCATGTAATTTCGTGGAGTCCTCTCGTACACGAGAACAGGGCGTTATTACACGCACGATGATAGAACTTGTCGTCGAGGCAGTCGCTTTCCTTCGTATTTTAAACGTCACTGACGTAGAAAACAGCGTCCACACGATACCATTCACGATCGCAATGATTTTTCATTTACATCGAACCTCGGTTTTGGAACCTCAATTTTTATGTATCACGAGTTCCTTTCAAAATTCTAGATGTACACCTAAGCAATTTCATTCAGCCTTCGACGCCAGGAATTTTTATTCATCAGAAATTCGGTATTCATTCGCGTTTTGTCTACCAGATTTCCGAACATCGAGTAAGAACAGATTCGAACGAGAGCAGGATTAAGTGATTTTGTGCTCGATCGTCGGCCTCGTTGGCGATTACGGCAAGAAGGACGTTTGCAAAACGAGACCGAGGAAGTATAGCCCGCTCGTCGAAGTAGCCTCTGCGTTACACGAGTTCGATCGATGGTCGACGAGAAAAATTGAAATTAAAAGAAAGTATGAACTATCCCATTTTATAACATTTCCTGATTACAAGAACCTTCGAAACGTATTTAAAGAAATCACTGAAAAACTGAATAGTGGTATCCAATCTGCAATCTAATCGGCGTTGTAGTCTAATTTTGAAAAAAAAAAATAGATTAATTTCATGATTTAGTACTAAATTTTGTTTTCGTTCTTTTGGATGTTGGCCCACTGTGACGCATCAGCGAATCCGTGATTCAGTTCACGTTATCGCTAACCGTGGATACGTTTCTTGAAAGTTCTGGAAGCAAATAAAAATGCATCCGCGTTGCAATCACCTTTCACACCGGTTCACCTTGTACGTCCAACGTAACGGAATATTATTAAACGATCATTCCTGGAATGCTCAGCGGCAAGCCGCCGCTAATCTTTACCCGATAAAGGCACGTTAATTCTAATTACGTACACACACGTATTACATTTGTTGCACCCGCTTACTTTTACTTTTGCAACATTTTCCGTTTGGGCCACGCCGCGCGGGGGCGTATGCTCGCTTGGTCCCGTTCGTCGTACACAGCAGGTTTTCAATTTCGTGGTTATCGATCGCCCGAGCTCAAAATGTATACATACCGATGTAAATTTACCCAAAAATAAGCCAGTAATAATCTTCTCTGATTCTTAACTTTTGTTTCAGGTTTTCCGGGCATCTCGACGCTAAAATAGCAAGAAAGCGACCCGTTCTCGATTGATAATAAATAGAGTCACATTCATGCTTGGCGATGGTTGACTGGAAGAAGAGGAGTGGCTGAAGCGTGCCAGGCCTCCTGGAAAGAAGATCCCGACGCGCAGCGCAGGAAACTCAGCTTTCCGTGTTTTCTTCGTTGCTGATGCGTTCGATGCCTTTCATCGTCAACGAGGTAAGAAATGTCTGATGGAAGAGAGTGGGCGACGAAGAGGTGAGGAGACAGGACTGGGGGTAGCGGGGGCAACGGAGGAGAGAAAAAAGCCGAAGAGAGTGGCGAGCAGTCGCTCGACGCGGCCTTAGAAGGTCGCTAGCTCGAGCTAGCCTTCTTTAGCATCCTGCATCTCCGCGTTTTCCTCCATCTCTGTCGGTTCTGTTCAGCGTCTCGCTCCGAGCCCCTTCCAAGAGGCTCTCTTCCTCTCTTTTTCCCGGTTGCAGCCTCAATCCGCGACGCCTATGCATCTGTATCGCAGCCTCGGCGAGTAACCTGGCCGCGATGCTGCGCGCACCAACGAAGCGACCTCGAAGTCCCCCGGTCTGAACTCGACTATTGTTTCGTCTTTGTCCTCCTCCTTCTTCCTCTTCATCTTCCCTCTTTCCACGAGCCAGAGGATGCACCTGCGACGAGAGGAATTCTATAACGCGAGCTGCAACCGCGATCTTCTGGACCCCTGATCGGTTCTCGAATCGCTGGAAACGCGAGCACTACCTATGTATGTCGCGGACTTGCGGCACATTAGAAGCAGGAAGAAGAGGCGTCAGAACGTCGCGTGTTGACTCTGGAATACTACTCTAGGATAGGGTGGATCGCGGTATATTTTCTTATGTTTACATTTTTTGGAATGCTTGGGTTTCCACCCTTAGCAAGAGGAAGTTGAATATTTTATTTAACAGCGGTCTTCGAGGGGTTAATTGAAATTATAACGGCGTCTATAAAAGTAGATGAACCCAGAAATGCTCTCCAAAATAGCGAAATCCGTCGAATTAACGATCCACGGTGGTACAATAAAGACAACCCCCGGCAGAGGGTGCACCGGATGCCTGCGCGCGACACATAAATTGTCCCATCCTCCGATCGGTCTGACTCAGAAATTCTATGGATCCTATGGGAACACGGAAAGATTGCGATCTTACATGAAAGCGGCCTCTAACTGCAGTCTGGGTTGGTAAAAAAGGAGGAATCACGATACACCCATCATATCCGGGATGGGGATGTTCCGTGTGTCGTCGGAGACGATACAATACCCGTTTACGTCGCTCTACGCACACGTGGCCCCCACGAAATTCTTGTAGACGTAGTCGATGCGTCGATCCGCGTCAGCATGTTATGGGAACAGGGTGGGACCATCTTGCCAATGCACAGGAAACCCACCACGCCTCGCGTGTCTTCTTCCCGAGACGCTATTGATGCTGGAGCTCTTCACGCGCTACTTGGTGCAGTCTATCGTATTTATCAGTGTCATTATAGAAGTTGAACGATATTAAATTGTAAAAAGATGCTACATCGGCATCTCGTCGCAAGATTAATGGTAGAGGTCTTCGGAGAATTTTTGTGTATCACAAAGATTGTTTTAATCCGAATCTAATATACTACGAAAGATCAGGCAGTTTCTGTTTTTCGAAGATTAAAATATTCCCAGAGTTGTGTAAAAAATTATTAACAATACTTGCCTCAAATATTAATAACAATCAAAGTTCGGAATAAGTACTCATTTTACACAGTAACCGTGGGAAATTTGTCAATATTTTAATATCTATTGATTGAATCCATCGCGTTAACGGCTTCGACGCCCTCGCCAGAACGAAGGGTGGACGCCTTCCCCTTTTCTTTCGTCCATCTCCATGCTCTCGTTTCTCTCGTCGCTCTCCGCATTCACCGACCACTTTTTCTTTCCTTTCACCCTGTTTCCTTTCTGCTCTTTATCCCGTTTTCAGCTTCTTTCAACGCGGGCCATCGTGTCCATTCGCGATCGTGAACAATAATGCGAGAATAGAGGGGCTAAAAACCCGCAGATAGTGGCGGCCATTCACTCTCCTATATGTCAGGTTTTCAGGCAATTCGGTCGCATAGAGAGGCTACGATCACTTCGAATATCGCTCCAGGTTTAAAATGTTCGAAGGTTGGAAAAAGTCTGGGTAAAAATAAAATTCGAAGAACTTAATTAATTTAAATAAAATTATGAACCATCTTTGAGCTCTGTACAAAAAAAAAACGCACGATCTAGAAATAAAGTAAAACTACAAAAAAAGTCAGAATTAAATTGACACTCGTGTCGATTGTGGGAAATGTCCAGTACTTCCTAAAACCCCTAATCTTTCACGCTACACGAGCCCCATCACTGCACGTTGGCGGAAAACAAACTTCTCACTGGAAGTTTGTACACGTGTCCCACGGTATCAGGGGATGATCTCGTGATTCACATGGCGCATCGACCAACAACTTATGCGTCACCGGTTATTAACCGAGGAATCGTCGAGGATGACTGCCAGAAATGATTCCACCGATCGCTTCGAAGAGGATTTTCTTGGATCCAATCCGACCGAGTGAATTAAGTCGACGGGGGTGGACGACGTGCTTGCCTCAGCTTCTTCGTTCGGGAATGCGCGGTGAGTCAGGCCATGTTTGCTTCGGACGTCGTAATTAAAAGGGGCTGACTCGCCCTAGAAAATTTATCGGTGTTTCCCGTGCAACATTTGGGAATCACGAGAAAGAATGAAAATTTTCGAGGGGAATACGAATGGAATCGTGAAACTTGCTCGTGCAGTTTTAAGTATTTTGTTACAATGTAGAGAATAAGAATGTCATGAAATTCTATACAGAATTTGTTTAAATGAAACAATACGGTGCTAAAATATTAGTCGACCCAGATAGGTATGTCGTCCGTTCGCTTCTCGGTGTGCATCGCTTCCCTGTCGACTCTCTATCGGTCTGCAAAAAGAAGGAAAAGAACTCTCGATGATTTGTCTCGCAATTCATCGACAATCACCTCCCCGTGTGCGGGTAACACTCCAGAAACGATCATCGATCTGCAATTCGTTCACTTTCCTCGGCGAGTGCTCGTCGTCGTCCAATTATCCGGCGATCAATAGGAATCCGCGATCCGTATCGATTCGATAAGATCGTCTGCTCCCCGCCCCTCTCTTCCACGGTACGTGTATCCGCGAAGGTTCGACCAGTAACAGTCGTCCGTTGTTTCCTCGCACTTCGGTACACATCCGATCCAGTTTCGTGTATCGTGCGAACCGTCTGCGATCGAGTTTCGCACAAAGCGCGACTTCATGCTCGATCGCAGGACCAGCGGTGCTTTAAACTCGTGTCGTTCTTTTCCGTCCCCTACCGTGTCGCTGAAACCATCCTTCGTTGATTGACCACGCAGGGGGTAAATGGTTGCGTCGTTGCAGGAATCGACGAGGAGATTTTGCATCGCGTAATACCTTATTTAATATATAACTAACCGGGTGATTAACATCGATTCGATAGCGCGGCAACAGGATTTTCCTACAGACGGAGGAACCTCTGTCTACTTGCCAGCATCGACCCAAGGAAAGCCGCGTTAAACACAAACCCCCGTTGAAAATTTTCATTTCACAGTGGCCCCGAGGCGCCGACAGGGTCATATATGCTGTCGACAAATAAACATGTTCGCTTGGCATCAAGTTCAATTATCGAAACAACATTCTTAGCGCGCCGCAACGTTAACAGCCACCGAAAGAACTTTACGAGCATGACTTTAATAGAGCGGTATCGCCTTTACGGTTTACGGGAAATCGAGTCTTTCCTCTGTTTCAGCTGCTGCATTCTAGGTCGAGGAAACTCATATTAGAATGTCAACAATGGCTTCATTCAAGAAAATCGTCAGGGTGAAATTTTGCGAGAGAGATTCTTTCGTTTTCATATCCAATTTGACAGATCGAGAAGAGCACGATTTCAACAGAAAACATCGGACATCGTTCAACTATCGTTCGACATTTGAAATCGTTGCTCGGATAAGAATTTTGCTCACCTCTGACAGACGAAACGTCGCTCGAGGAATGGCCCCTCGGAGCTTTCGTCGCGAGAGAGCTTCGTGAAAGTGACCGTTCACCAGGGACGAAAAGATTCTGAAGTTACACGGTCGGTGCGTGTTCCTCATCTTTCTTGGTGACCTCAGCCGCTACTTTCCACGGCAATCTTTTCCTGCCACGGACGACCAGCGAATCGGTACCGTGAAAGCCTCGAGAAAGTCACCCGCGGGGAGAGCGCCATCGTCGACGGAGATGCGCAAAATTTTATTTTAATAATAGATGAATGAAAAACGATCGAGCCACTGTCTGGATAAGTTCAACGTGGATTACAGTTTCGTTTCGTGACTCGAATTTTTGCGAAGAATACTTTACGCTTCGAAGTGCCATAATTTGTTCCATTTTCGAGGAAAAGGATGCTAAACTGTTCGCTAGCGTGCACTAGATCCCGCAAGCTCTCGATTTTTGCGCGTCACGTGCCAGTACCTATAGATGCCTATGGGAATCAGAGGGTTAAGGGGAGGCTCTTTCGATGTTTGATCTTCCGGTCGCAAGAACTAGCCGTGGAGGTGAAAGAATGCCCCGAAGACAGGTCTGACGCGGCCCCTCGGCTGTGCTCAACTTCCTGCCTTTATTCCGACAGCGACGATTACATTTTCGTGTAGCTTGCTCTTGGATAAGATACCGCGGGAATGGATGCGGAGGAATTCGCTCGGTGAATTCGTTTCATCCTCGTTGGAAGGTTCTTAGCAACTGCTAGGCAAGTTCGGAGAGTCGAATCTAATGGATGTAGCGATGGATCGCAGGTAAACTAGTGCAGCGATGCCAAATAGATGTGTAGTATCCACGCCTCCCATACCCAAGACGATGGAGTCAAAAACGAGAACACGATACGTAGGGTACGGGATTGGTCTTGTAGGTAAAGCGGTAAAATATGGACCCGAGGATCGTGGGTTCGAATCTCTGTGCCTTATTTTTCGTTTAGACTCCTACAGATGAATATACCGTTCCATTGATTGGTTCAGTGAAAAAACGACTACGCGAGAGGCGTGTGCATCCTTTCTGGATGCGAAATTCAGCCCTTCCTGCTTCCTTCTGGAGGTCCTTCGAGAGGGTTGAAACAGTGTCATGAAACAAGTTTAAACGTTTTCCGGCTTCCTTGCATGCGTCGCG